AGTTTTCCGGAAGTTACATAAAAAGATTACAAACAAGTTTATTTTTGAAGACATTAACGGTAGCGGTTTTTGATGTAAAATATTAGTATTGCAGTAAATATTCAGGATTGAAGAAATTAATTAAATTGACAGACACCATTTTTGAGAATCGCTACGCTACGCATAGCTACAATTAAATGAACTTTGTAGATGTGAAATAAACGAAATTACAAGATTGCAGCGCATTTCTTACTTGGTTTTCTGAATCCTGAGCAATAACTTTTAACTGTAAAAGTCCAAAATGTAATATGTGTCAAGCATTCCATGCTACAATTTACTGCCGTAACTGCATAACAACCCCCTTTGGACACAATCGTTATTTTTCGTTGTATTACAGTTACAACCCCCTTTGACCAAAACCATATTCGAATAAGACTTGTATTTTCCGGTCAAATACCTGCACATGCGAATTCACACTTAAACATACATTTCCACCACAGTAAGTGTGTGCAGAAACTAAAAAATACATTTTTACAACGTTTAAGAGAGATATCTTTGTCTAAAATCATAGAACCATGACCAAATTCAAACTTGGCCTGCTTTTTCCAAAGATGTATCTATATGTTGAATTTGAGTTGAATGTGTACAACTGTTGGAATAATAAACAGATAATGAAAATTTAAAGTTAAAGGGTCATAACTCTGCAAAAATCATTGAACCATGACCATATTCGAAGTTGGCCTCTGCATACCTTTGACGTATCCTTATGTCAATTAGAGTTGAATGTGTATTCATGTTTTGGAGAAAAGGAACCATTGTGAGTGTTGCGTGCAAATAGTAGGTCCCTTCGGTCAAGGTCACACGAAGACATATAGAGAGATAATAATGAAATTTCAGATAAATGTTTACCACCATGAGAAGCAGTGTCATGCACATGAACTAGGTCTCTAGGTCAAAGGTCAAGGTAACACTTAGAGGACATTGAAAATAACTTGTCCGGACCAACACTTCTACATGCATAGAGGGATTTCAATACAACTTGGCACACATATTCACCATTGTCGCTTGCAGAATTCAGGTCCCTGCTGCCAAGGTCACACTTAGGGGTCAATGTTCAGATGAAGACATGAAAATGTGTATTCGAACGATTTTAATAATCATTTATTAAGAGATTGTCACACAAATGGTCATTACCATAACTTCTAGTGTGAAACGTGTAATTTAGGTTAATATATGCAAGGTCAAGGTCACTTAAGATAAAAAAGATAGAAATTTTGTCAAGATCATATCTCTTAGGGATTTCTCTGTCAAAAATCATTGAACCATGACCAAATTCGAACATTACCTGCATATTTCTATGACATATCCATATGTTTAATTTGAGTTTAATGTGTACAACTGTTAGGAAGATAATGAACGGAAACTGAAAATTTCATCTATGGGCATAACTCTGTCAATATTTGCGGACCATTAGTCCATATTTGAACTTGGCATCTGCTTCATTAGACATATCCCTATGTCAAATGTTAGTTGAAAGTGTATAAATGTTTCGGAGAAAATGAACCATTGTGAGTATTGCGTGCAAAAAGTAGGTCACTTCGGTCAAGGTCAAGGTCACACCAAGACATATGGAGGCATTATAATGAAACTTCAGACAAATGATCACCACTATGAGAAGCAGTCTCATGCACATGAACTAGGTATCTAGGTCAAAGGTCAAGGTAACATTTAGAAGTCATTGAAAAAGACTTGTCCGGACCAACACTTTTACATGCATAGTGGGATTTCATATATAACTTGGCACAAACTTGACCTGCATTGTCCTAGGATATATTCATATGTCAAATGAGAGTTGAAGGTGTTTACTGTTATCAAGATAATGAACGGAAACTGATGACGACGGAATGACTGAATTTCGGAATGACGGAACAGGGTAATATGCCCCAGCCATTTATGGTAGGGGCATACCATTGATGCTTTTATTTGTACACATTTTATCTAAACAATATTAAGTATGCAGGAAAATTTATTGAAAATTGAAAGTTGAAAGTGGAAAGGGGAAACAGTTTTGTTAAAATGATAAAATGCACGTATTTTCACTTCTTAAACTCTTTAAATAGAATTGTAAAAAAGACTCTATGTATAGATGCGTATGTTGAATCGAGGGTACGGCAGATAATATAATTCAAACTTCTCTTTACAGAGCTACTAGTTATAAAAATGTACTTATAAGATAATATTTAGACAGTAATTTAGAAACATTGTAACCGAAAATTTATTTTTTAAGACTTTAAAGCAAGCCTTTTTATTGTATTGATCGAGTTCAAAATGTACACTTTCACCAGCAAATTGATAGTCCTCGTAGTGTATGATGCAACACTGGATAACATTTTTTCATATGTGACTTACTAAAAAATATTGCTTTTAGATTTTGGAATGCAGGAGAGAATACGCCCACTCAACTATCACAATGGGACTGACGAAGAAATATTTAGATACGCTGATTACAAATTTGCTAATTTTGCTCCCTGCAACCAAGGAAGTTGGGCAAGTTTCGAGTGAAGTACTAAATTGTATCAACATTTTGAAAGAAGTAAGTACATGTACAAACATGCTCATCAATTTGTTTTTACTGTTTTTAAGTGCATACGAAAAATATATGTAAAACACAACATGGGAAACGTTTTTCTCTTTTATTCTCTATTTTACTTTGTTTCAAAGTCAAAGTAGTATCATTTTACTGTCAACATATACTTCTGTTTCTTCTTTTACTACAAGCTAGAGTATAAAATGGTTTTTCTATAGTTATATTGATCATTTAGCTGGTGAGAGTGAAGTAACATAAAAGTGGAGTATGAAATAAATATATTGAGGCCTCAATATTTGTATAATTTATGTGTAAAGCAAATTGAAAACGTCAAATTTATCAAGAAGCCCCAGTAATTTTTTGTAGTTTTAAGATTATAGATTATGTTAATTTACAAAGCTTTATTGATTGACGTTACCAGAATTGTAGGTACAGAAAGTTTCCTTTATTGTATTTGTAACCGGTAAACATTCAAACAATTGATATTTTTTTTCAAATTAGCTTACAATGGATTAATTTTTCACGCTTTACGCTAAAACGACAAGAGAGTAAAGGGTATTTGCAGGCCCATTCCATTCTGACAATTGGTACATATGTTCATTGAACACCAGACTTTTTTCATCAAGATGTTTTTCAATTAGCTTTGTAGAAGAAATGCTACATCAATTAAAATCTTTCTTTTTATTTTGTCAAATAAATTGCTACGTAATAATTACAATACTTGCAAACAAACCATTTGATTTTGTTAATATGGTATAACATTATGATTTTGCAAATAACAATGTGTGAAATTGACAAATGATACCGACTGAACGCTTTGAGCAATTTTTGTTCTTGACACCCAGCAAAGAAGACAAGTTTTAATTATTTGTAGACTAGATAGCATTGTTATTTGATACCAATGTATTAATTTATCAAAATAGGGAAATAATTATGTTTTTGACGATCGTCAAACTATGTATAGACAGACAATCAATATACAAGCATGCTTCTTAGACAATATGTATACATAAACAAAATTGGAGAGAATCGCCCGTGTAAAGGCTATGATAACGATGTAAAATTACGTGGCATGTCAATCTGAAATTCTACGCCATTTAGACGGCCACGGCATTTCAAACTGTTAAAAAAGTTTGAGATTTGATTTCTATAAGGTTACAATGAATTCTTTTGTATATCATTTTGATCTATTTTTTCAAATATTCCACTATGTTTATATACGTAAACATCATGATATTTTACTTTACATTGTCTCTCACTATGAGACATGTTTAATAGCGATGGAAAAATGTTTATAACTTATTTTGTTGCTCAGTATCTCTAACTCATACCTATTGTTTCCTACGCATGATGCTTTATTTTTTGTACATTAATTTGCCTGGAACAATTTTAGCAATCTAGTCGTTATATGAGAACAGATGAAAATGTGGATTTTATGGTGCGTATGTATCTTTTCACAATAAATTGGTAAGTAAGTAATACTTTCAGAGATCAACTTTAAAAAGTAGCATGAATCGTTAAATTGCTTTTGATGTGAGTAAATTTTGAACGATATTGTTTATCAGATCAAAATTATTTGATAATTGATTTATTAATTAGTGACGTGTCATATACCTTTTAAAGGTCAAACGAGGAGAGATAACATTCAATTGTACTGTTATGGAACCAAAAGACAGACAGGAGGTAAAGTTGCAAAATTTGTGCTAATATATGGATTTTAAGATTACAGCAAAATAGTCTTTTCTTTAAATATTCTTTAGAATAGTTCAACCATTGTATCTATTTTTTTGTTTTATAACCTTTAAGGATTGATGGATGGTTGTCCTTTTCAGATCAACGTGATACTGAATTGTACACAATTGTTTCAAGTGAAATATTTCTTTGAAACAAAAGACTAAGTTTAACTGCATTTTCTTAGAAGTTCTTAAAATATTTTTTTAATTGATTGACTTATTTGGTTTCATGATCTTATATTGATCTATTGTTTCAAATATACCACTATGTTTATATGCGTAAATATCATGATATTTTACAATAAACTGTCTCTTACTATGAGACATGTTTAATCGCGATGGGAAAATGTTTATAACTTAATTCTGTTGCTCAATATCTCTTACTCATACCTATTGTTTCCAAAGCATGATGCTGTATTTGTTTGTACATTGACTTGCCTGGAACAATTTTAGCAATCTAGTTATTAAATGAGAAAACACACGTAAAAGTCTGCAAGATCAAGATATGGATTTTATGGTGCGTTTGTATTTTTTCGCAATAACTTGGTAAGTGGCTAAGACTTACAGAGGTCAACTGTCAAAAGTAGCATGAATCGTTTAATTGTTTTTGATGTGAGTCAATTTTGAACGATATTGTGCATAAGATCAAAAATATATGATAATAGATTTATTAATTAGTTGATGTGTCATATACTTTTTTAAGGTCAAAGAAGCAAAGAAAACATTCAATTGTATTGTTATGGAACCAACAGATGACAGACCGGAGGTAAATTTGCAAAATTTGTGTTAATATATAGATTTTAAGTTCACAGCAAAACTGTCTTTTCTTTCAATAATCTTTGGAAAAGTTAAACCGTTGTTTATTGTTTGTAAATCTTTTTTGTTTGTTTATGTAACCTTTAAGAATTGATGGATGGTTGTCCTTTTCAGATCATAGTGATACTTAATCGCACACAATTGTTTCAAGTTAAATACTTCTTTGGAGCAAAAGACAAATTTTGACTGCACTTTTTATAGAAGATCTTCATATATTTTAAGTTGATTGACTAATTTGGTTGCATGATCTTATTTTGATCTATTGTTTTAAATATTCCACTATGTTTATATACGTGAATATCATGATATTTTACTTTACATTGTCTCTTACAATGAGACATGTTTAATCGCGATGGGAAAATGTTTATAACTTAATTCTTTTGCTCAATATCTCTTACTCATACCTATTGTTTCCAAAGCATGGTGCTTCATTTGTACATTAACTTGCTTGGAACAATTTTAGCAATCTAGTTGTAATATGAGAAAACAATTATACGTAAAAGTCGACGAGATCAAGATATGGATTTTATGGTGCGTATGTATCTTTTCGCAATAACTTGGTAAGTGGCTAAAACTTACAGAGATCAACTATGAAAAATAGCATGAATCGTTTAATTATCCCCCGCCGAAAAGGCGACGGGTGATATAGAAATAGTCTCCGTCCGTCCGTCCGACTTTCCGTCCTTCCGTCCGTCCGTCCTTCCGTCCGACATTTTTGTCCGGAGCATATCTCTAAAAGTATTTGAGTTATCAACTTGAAACTTCATAGGTAGATAGACCTCATTGAGTAAGAGTGCAGTGCACAAGAATGATAACTCTACCCTGCATAATTTTTGAGTTATTGCCCTTTGTTATTTTTCAAAATTGATTTTTGTCCAGAGCATAACTCAAAATGCCTTTGAGATATCATTATGAAACTTCATAGGTGCATAAATCTCACTCAGGAGGTGTGCAGTGCACAAGAATGATAACTCTACCTTTCATAATTTTTGAGTTATTGCCCTTTGTTATTTTTCATACTTAATTTTTCACCTGAGTGGAGCATAACTAAAAAAGTGTTTGAGATATCAACATGAAATGTCATAGGTGGATAGAATGATTTTATTGAGGAGGAATGCTGTGCACAAGAATGATAACTGTTGCCTGTACAATTTTGAGTTATTGCCCTTTGTTCTTTTTCATAATATTTTGTCCGGAGCTTATCTCAAAAAGTATTTGAGGTATCAACTTGAAACTTCATAGGTGGATGGATCTCATTGAGGAAGAGTGCAGTGCACAAGAATGATAACTCTACCCTGCTTAATTGTTTAGTTATTGCCCTTTTTTTACTTTTCAAAATTAATTTTTGTCCAGAGCATAACTCAAAATGCCTTTGAGATATCATTATGAACTTCAATAGGTGCATAGATCTAACTCGGGAGGTGTGCAGTGCACAAGAATGATAACTCTACCTTTTTATAATTTTTGAGTTATTGCCCTTTGTTATTTTTCATACTTAATTTTTCAATTCAATTTTTTTCTCAAAAAGTATTTGAGGTATCAACTTGAAACTTCATAGGTGGATAGATTTTACTGAGGAAGGATGCAGCACACAAGAATGATTACCTACCCTGCATTATTTTTTTTGTTATTTCAACAATCAGTATTCACATAGGTTTCAAATCTGTAATCACTATAGCCATCAGTTTTCATTACCAAAAGACCTCTTAAAATGGAATTATTCTGTTCTACTACATATACTTCTTCCAATGAGCAAACACATTCGGCGGGGGATGGCCATGTTGACATGGCTCTTGATGCTTTTGATGTGAGTCAATTTTGAACGATATTTTTCATAAGATCAAAAATATTTGATAATTGATTTATTAATTAGTTGACGTGTCATATACCTTTTTAAGGTCATACAAGGAAAGGAAACATTCAATTGTATTGCTGTGGAACCAAAAGACGTCAGACCGAAGGTAAAGTTGTAAAATTTGTGTTAATATATGGATTTTAAACTTACAACAAAATAGTCTCTTTCAATATGCTTTGGAATAGTAAAACGATAACCCCGTTGTTTACTTTTTGTAAATCTATTTTTTGTTGATGGATTGATGGATGGCTGTTCTTTTCAGGTTATAGTGATAACTTTAATCGTACACAATTGTTTCAAGTGAAATATTTCTTTGAAACAAAAGACTAATTTTGACTGCACTTTTCTTAGAACTTCTTCACATTTGTTAAAGTGATTGACTAATTTATTTGCAAGATCTCATTTTGATCTATTGTTTCAAATATTCCACTATGTTTATATACGTAAATATCATGATATTTTACTTTACATTGTCTCTTACAATGAGACATGTTTAATCGCGATGGGAAAATGTTTATAACTTAATTCTTTTGCTCAATATCTCTTACTCATACCTATTGTTTCCAAAGCATGGTGCTTCATTTGTACATTAACTTGCTTGGAACAATTTTAAAGCAATCTAGTTGTAATATAGAAAACAATTATACGTAAAAGTCGACGAGATCAAGATATGGATTTTATGGTGCGTATGTATCTTTTCGCAATAACTTGGTAAGTGGCTAAAACTTACAGAGATCAACTATGAAAAATAGCATGAATCGTTTAATTATCCCCCGCCGAAAAGGCGACGGGTGATATAGAAATAGTCTCCGTCCGTCCGTCCGACTTTCCGTCCTTCCGTCCGTCCGTCCTTCCGTCCGACATTTTTGTCCGGAGCATATCTCTAAAAGTATTTGAGTTATCAACTTGAAACTTCATAGGTAGATAGACCTCATTGAGTAAGAGTGCAGTGCACAAGAATGATACTCTACCCTGCATAATTTTTGAAGTTATTGCCCTTTGTTATTTTTCAAAATTGATTTTTGTCCAGAGCATAACTCAAAAAATGCCTTTGAGATATCATTATGAAACTTCATAGGTGCATAAATCTCACTCAGGAGGTGTGCAGTGCACAAGAATGATAACTCTACCTTTCATAATTTTTGAGTTATTGCCCTTTGTTATTTTCATACTTAATTTTTCACCCTGAGTGGAGCATAACTAAAAAAGTGTTTGAGATATCAACATGAAATGTCATAGGTGGATAGAATGATTTTATTGAGGAGGAATGCTGTGCACAAGAATGATAACTGTTCCCTGTACAATTTTGAGTTATTGCCCTTTGTTCTTTTTCATAATATTTTGTCCGGAGCTTATCTCAAAAAGTATTTGAGGTATCAACTTGAAACTTCATAGGTGGATGGATCTCATTGAGGAAGAGTGCAGTGCACAAGAATGATAACTCTACCCTGCATAATTTTTGAGTTATTGCCCTTTGTTATTTTTTCAAAATTGATTTTTGTCCAGAGCATAACTCAAAATGCCTTTGAGATATCATTATGAAACTTCATAGGTGCATAAATCTCACTCAGGAGGTGTGCAGTGCACAAGAATGATAACTCTACCTTTCATAATTTTTGAGTTATTGCCCTTTGTTATTTTTCATACTTAATTTTTCACCTGAGTGGAGCATAACTAAAAAAGTGTTTGAGATATCAACATGAAATGTCATAGGTGGATAGAATGATTTTATTGAGGAGGAATGCTGTGCACAAGAATGATAACTGTTTCCCTGTACAATTTTGAGTTATTGCCCTTTGTTCTTTTTCATAATATTTTGTCCGGAGCTTATCTCAAAAAGTATTTGAGGTATCAACTTGAAACTTCATAGGTGGATGGATCTCATTGAGGAAGAGTGCAGTGCACAAGAATGATAACTCTACCCTGCTTAATTGTTTAGTTATTGCCCTTTTTTTTACTTTTCAAAATTAATTTTTGTCCAGAGCATAACTCAAAATGCCTTTGAGATATCATTATGAAACTTCATAGGTGCATAGATCTAACTCGGGAGGTGTGCAGTGCACAAGAATGATAACTCTACCTTTTATAATTTTTGAGTTTTTGTCCTTTGTTATTTTTCATACTTAATTTTTCAATTCAATTTTTTTTCTCAAAAAGTATTTGAGGTATCAACTTGAAACTTCATAGGTGGATAGATTTTACTGAGGAAGGATGCAGCACACAAGAATGATTACCTACCCTGCATTATTTTTTTGTTATTTCAACAATCAGTATTCACATAGGTTTCAAATCTGTAATCACTATAGCCATCAGTTTTCATTACCAAAAGACCTCTTAAAATGGAATTATTCTGTTCTACTACATATACTTCTTCCAATGAGCAAACACATTCGGCGGGGGATGGCCATGTTGACATGGCTCTTGATGCTTTTGATGTGAGTCAATTTTGAACGATATTTTTCATAAGATCAAAAATATTTGATAATTGATTTATTAATTAGTTGACGTGTCATATACCTTTTTAAGGTCATACAAGGAAAGGAAACATTCATTGTATTGCTGTGGAACCAAAAGAACGTCAGACCGAAGGTAAAGTTGTAAAATTTGTGTTAATATATGGATTTTAAACTTACAACAAAATAGTCTCTTTTCAATATGCTTTGGAATAGTAAAACGATAACCGTTGTTTACTTTTTGTAAATCTATTTTTTTGTTGATTGGATTGATGGATGGCTGTTCTTTTCAGGTTATAGTGATACTTAATCGTACACAATTGTTTCAAGTGAAATATTTCTTTGAAACAAAAGACTAATTTTGACTGCACTTTCTTAGAACTTCTTCACATTTGTTAAAGTGATTGACTAATTTATTTGCAAGATCTCATTTTGATCTATTGTTTCAAATATTCCACTATGTTTATATACGTAAATATCATGATATTTTACTTTACATTGTCTCTTACAATGAGACATGTTGTAATCGCGATGGAAAATTTTTATAACTTATTTCTGTTGCTCAATATCTCTTACTCATACCTATTGTTTCCAAAAGCATGATGCTTTATTTGTTTGTACATTAACTTGCTTGGAACAATTTTAGCAATCTAAGTTGTAATATGAGAAAACAATTATACGTAAAAGTCGACGAAGATCAAATATGGATTTTATGGTGCGTATGTATCTTTTCGCAATTACTGGTAAGTGGCTAAAACTTACAGAGATCAAACTATGAAAAAATAGCATGAATCGTTTAATTATCCCCGCCGAAAAAGGCGACGGGTGATATAGAAATAGTCTCCGTTTACATTTTTGTCGGAGCATATCTCTAAAAGTATTTTGAGTTATCAACTTGAAACTTCATAGGTAGATAGACCTCATTGAGTAAGAGTGCAGTGCACAAGATGATAACTCTACCCTGCATAATTTTTGAGTTATTGCCCTTTGTTTATTTTTCAAAATTGATTTTTGTCCAGAGCATAACTCAAAATGCCTTTGAGATATCATTATGAAACTTCATAGGTGCATAAATCTCACTCAGGAGGTGTGCAGTGCACAAAATGATAAAAAATCTACCTTTCATAATTTTTTTGAGTTATTGCCCTTTGTTATTTTCATACTTAATTTTTCACCTGAGTGGAAGCATAACTAAAAAAGTGTTTGAGATATCAACATGAAATGTCATAGGTGGATAGAATGATTTTATTGAGGAGGAATGCTGTGCACAAGAATGATAACTGTTCCCTGTACAATTTTTGAGTTATTGCCTTTGTTCTTTTTCATAATATTTTGTCCGGAGCTTTATCTCAAAAAGTATTTGAGGTATCAACTTGAAAACTTCATAGGTGGATGGATCTCATTGAGAAGAGTGCAGTGCACAAGAATGATAACTCTACCCTGCATAATTTTTGAGTTAATTGCCCTTTGTTATTTTTCAAAAATTGATTTTTGTCCAGAGCATAACTCAAAATGCCTTTGAGATATCATTATGAAACTTCATAGGTGCATAAATCTCACTCAGGAGGTGTGCAGTGCACAAGAATGATAACTCTACCTTTCATAATTTTTGAGTTATTGCCCTTTGTTATTTTTCATACTTAATTTTTTCACCTGAGTGGAGCATAACTAAAAAAAGTGTTTGAGATATCAACATGAAATGTCATAGGTGGATAGAATGATTTTATTGAGGAGGAATGCTGTGCACAAGAATGATAACTGTTGCCTGTACAATTTTGAGTTATTGCCCTTTTTCTTTTTCATAATATTTTGTCCGGAGCTTATCTCAAAAAGTATTTGAGGTATCAACTTGAAACTTCATAGGTGGATGGATCTCATTGAGGAAGAGTGCAGTGCACAAGAATGATAACTCTACCCTGCTTAATTGTTTAGTTATTGCCCTTTTTTTACTTTTCAAAATTAATTTTTGTCCAGAGCATAACTCAAAATGCCTTTGAGATATCATTATGAAACTTCATAGGTGCATAGATCTAACTCGGGAGGTGTGCAGTGCACAAGAATGATAACTCTACCTTTTATAATTTTTGAGTTATTGTCCTTTGTTATTTTTCATACTTAATTTTTCAATTCAATTTTTTTCTCAAAAAGTATTTGAGGTATCAACTTGAAACTTCATAGGTGGATAGATTTTACTGAGGAAGGATGCAGCACACAAGAATGATTACCTACCCTGCATTATTTTTTTGTTATTTCAACAATCAGTATTCACATAGGTTTCAAATCTGTAATCACTATAGCCATCAGTTTTCATTACCAAAAGACCTCTTAAAATGGAATTATTCTGTTCTACTACATATACTTCTTCCAATGAGCAAACACATTCGGCGGGGGATGGCCATGTTGACATGGCTCTTGATGCTTTTGATGTGAGTCAATTTTGAACGATATTTTTCATAAGATCAAAAATATTTGATAATTGATTTATTAATTAGTTGACGTGTCATATACCTTTTTAAGGTCATACAAGGAAAGGAAACATTCAATTGTATTGCTGTGGAACCAAAAGACGTCAGACCGAAGGTAAAGTTGTAAAATTTGTGTTAATATATGGATTTTAAACTTACAACAAAACAGTCTCTTTTCAATATGCTTTGGAATAGTAAAACGATAACCGTTGTTTACTTTTTGTAAATCTATTTTTTGTTGATTGATTGATGGATGGCTGTTCTTTTCAGGTTATAGTGATACTTAATCGTACACAATTGTTTCAAGTGAAATATTTCTTTGAAACAAAAGACTAATTTTGACTGCACTTTCTTAGAAGTTCTTCACATTTGTTAAAGTGATTGACTAATTTATTTGCAAGATCTCATTTTGATCTATTGTTTCAAATATTCCACTATGTTTATATACGTAAATATCATGATATTAACTTTACTTTGACTCTGACTATGAGACATGTTTAATCGCGATGGAAAATTTTTATAACTTATTTCTGTTGCTCAATATCTCTTACTCATACCTATTGTTTCCAAAGCATGGTGCTTAATTTGTTTGTACATTAACTTACCTGGAAAAATTTAAGCAATCTAGTCGTTATATGAGAAAACAATTATACGTAAAAGTCGACGAGATCAAGATATGGATTTTGTGGTGCGTATGTGTCTTTTCGCAATTAATTGGTAAGTGGCTAAGATTAACAGAGATCAACTATGAAAAATAGCGTAAATCGTTTAATTGTTTTTAATGTGAGTCAATTTTGAACGATATTGTTCATAAGATCAAAAATATTTGATAAATGATTTATTTATTACTTGACGTGTCATATACCTTTTTAAGGTCAAGGAAACAAATGAAACATTCGATTGTATTGTTATGGAACCAAAGGACGACAAACCGGAGGTAAAGTTACAAAATTTGTGTTAATATATGGATTTTAAACTTACAACAAAACAGTCTTTTCTTTCAATATTCTTTGGAATAGTTCAACCGTTGTTTACTGTTTGTAAATCTATTTTTATTTTTTGTTGATATAACCTTTAAAGATTGATGGATGGGTGTCCTTTTCAGATCATAGTGATATTTATACCCCCGCACAACAAAGTTGTAAGGGGGGTATACTGGAATCAGCTTGTCCGTCCGTCCGTCCGTCCGGCCGTCCGTCCGGCTGTCCGTCGGTTTTTTCTTGTCCGCCCCAATAACTTAAGATTCCTTCGACCCTAAGTCTTCATATTTGGCATGGAGGTTAGTCATGATTAGTAGATGACCCCTATTGATTTTGAGGTCTCTAGGTCAAAGGTCACAGGGACCTTGACTTCAAAAAGCTTGTCCGCCCAATAACTTAAGATTCCTTTGACCTACAGTCGTCATATTTAGCATGGAGGTAAGTCATGATTAGTAGATGACCCCTATTGATTTTGAGGTCACCAGGTCAAAGGTCAAGGTCACAGGGGCCTTGACTTCAAAAAGCTTGTCCGCCCAATAACTTAAGATTCCTTTGACCAACAGTCGTCATATTTAGCATGGAGGTAAGTCATGATTAGTAGATGACCCCTATTGATTTTGAGGTCACTAGATCAAAGGTCAAGGTCACAGGGGCCTTGACTTCAAAAAGCTTGTCCGCCCAATAACTTAAGATTCCTTTGACCCACAGTCATCATATTTGGCATGGAGGTTAGTCATGATTAGTAAATGACCCCTATTGATTTTGAGGTCACCAGGTCAAAGGTCAAGGTCACAGGGACTTTGACTTCAAAAAGCTTGTCCGCCCAATAACTTAAGATTCCTTTGACCCACAGTCTTCATATTTGGCATGGAGGCTAGTCATGATAAGTAGATGACCCCTATTGACTTTGAGGTCACCAGGTCAAAGGTCAAGGTCACAGGGGCCTTGACTTCAAAAAGCTTGTCCGCCCAATAACTTAAGATTCCTTTGACCCTTAGTCTTCATATTTGGCATGGAGGTTAGTCATGATTAGTAGATGACCCCTATTGACTTTGAGGCCACCAGGTCAAAGGTCAAGGTCACAGGGGCCTTGACTTCAAAAAGCTTGTCCGCCCAATAACTTAAGATTCCTTTGACCCACAGTCTTCATATTTGGAATGGAGCTTAGTCATGATTAGTAGATGATCCCTATTGATTTTGAGGTCATCAGGTCAAAGGTCAAGGTCACAGGGACTTTGACTTCAAAAAGTTTGTCTGCCCAATAACTTTAGATTCCTTTGACCCACAGTCTTCATATTTGGCATGGATGTTGATCATGGTTAGTAGATGACCCCTTTTGATTTTGAGGTCACTGGATCAAAGGTCAAGGTCATAGGGACTTTGACTTCAAAAAGTTTGTCCACCCATTAACTTAAGATTCCTTTGACCCACAGTCTTCATATTTGGCATGGATGTTGATCATGAGTATAAGGTGACCCCTATTGATTTTGAGGTCACTGGGTCAAAGGTCAAGGTCACAGGGGCCTTAACAAAAAAAGCTTTTCTTCTCAATTGCTAAAGAATGTCCTGTCCGCAATGTATTGATTTTGACATTTTCACATTTGAATCATGTAGAATACTTAACTTAGCAATGCACTGGCTTAGTAACCTCAGATTTGGCAGAGAGGTTGTCCTTGAGCTCTAAATGGCCACTGTTGATTCTGACAAAGTGGTATGCGGGGGTATTCACGCCATGATAGTGGCAGTTCTACTTAATCGTACACAATTGTTTCAAGTGAAATTTTTCTTTGAAATAAAAGACTTATTTTGACTGCACTTTCTTAGAAGATCTTCATATTTTTTAAGTTGATTCACTACTTTGGTTGCATGAAATTATTTTGATCTATTTTTTTCAACTATTCCACTATGTTTATGTACGTAAATATCATGATATTTTACTTTACATTATCTCTCACTATGGGACATGTTTAATAGCGATTGAAAAATGATATAATTTATTTCTGTTGCTTAATATCTCTTACTCATATTGTTTCCAAAGCATGGTTCTTTATTTGTTTGTACATTAACTTGCCTGGAACAATTTCAGCAATTTAGTTGTTATATGAGAAATCACTAATTCGTAAAAGTCGACGAGATCAAGGTATGGTTGTATGGTGCGTATGTATCTTTTCAAAATAAATTGGTAAGTGGCTAAGACTTACAGAGGTCAACTGTCAAAAGTAGCATGAATCGTTTAATTGCTATTGATGTGAGTAAATTTTGAACGATATTGTGCATAAGTTCAAAAATATTTGATAATAGATTTATTAATAAGTTGACGTGTCATATACCTTTTTAAGGTCAAAGAAGCAGAGAAAACATTCAATTGTATTGTTATGGAACCAAAAGACGTCAGACCGAAGGTAAAGTTCCAAACTTTGTGTTAATATATGGATTTTAAACTTACAACAAAACAGTCTTTTTTCAATTTTCTTTGGAATAGTTAAACGGTAACCGTTGTTTATTATTTGTAAATCTCTTTTTTGTTTATGAATTGATGGATGGTTGTCCTTGATACTTAATCGTACACAATTGTTTCAAGTTAAATATTTCTTTGAAACAAAAGACTAATTAATTTTGACTGCACTTTCTGTTGCTCAATATCTCTTACTCATACCTATTGTTTCCAAAACATGATGTTTTATTTGTTCGTACAATAACTTGCCTGGAACAATTTTATCAATCTAGTTGTAATATGAGAAAACAATTATACGTAAAAGTCGACGAGATCAAGATATGGATTTTATGGTGCGTATGTATCTTTTCGCAATAACTTGGTAAGTGGCTAAGACTAACAGAGATCAACTATGAAAAATAGCGTGAATCGTTTAATTGTTTTTAATGTGAGTCAATTTTGAACGATATTGTTCATAAGATCAAAAATATGTGATAATAGATTTATTAATTAGTTGGTGTGTTATATACTTTTTAAGGTCATACAAGGAAAGGAAACATTCAATTGTATTCCTATGGAACCAGAAGACGTCAGACTGGAGGTAAAGTTGTAAAATTTGTTTTAATGTATTGATTTTAAGTTTACAGCAAAACAGTCTTTTCTTTCAATATTCTTTGGAATAGTTCAACCGTTGTTTACTGTTTGTAAATCTATTTTTATTTTTTGTTGATATAACCTTTAAAGATTGATGGATGGGCGTCCTTTTCAGATCATAGTAATACTTAATCGTACACAATTGTTTCAAGTGAACTATTTCTTTGAAATAAAAGACTAATTTTGACTGCACTGTCTTAGAAGATCTTCATATTTTTTCAGTTGATTCACTAAATTGGTTGCATGATCTTATTTTGATCTATTTTTTCAACTTTTCCACTATGTTTATGTACGTAAATTTCATGATATTTTACTTTACATTGTCTCTCACTATGGGACATGTTTAATAGCGATGATAAAATGTTATAATTTAATTCTGTTGCTTAATATCTCTTACTCATACCTATTGTTTCCAAAACATTATGCTTAATTTGTTTGTACATTAACTTGCCTGGAACAATTTCAGCAATCTAGTTATTACAATATTATGAGAAAACACATTATACGTAAAAGTCGACGAGATCAAGATATGGATTTTATGGTGCGTATGTATCTGTTCGCAATAACTTGGTAAGTGGCTAAGACTTACATGAATCAACTATGAAAAATAGCGTGAATCGTTTAATTGTTTTTAATGTGAGTCAATTTTGAACGATATTGTTCATAAGATCAAAAATATTTGATAAATGATTTATTTATTACTTGACGTGTCATATACCTTTTTAAGGTCAAGGAAACAAATGAAACATTCGATTGTATTGCTTTGGAACCAGAAGACGTCAGACCGAAGGTAAAGTTGCAAAATTTGTGATCATATATGGATTTTAAACTTACAACAAAACAGTCTCTTTTCAATATGCTTCGGAATAGTTAAACCGTTGTTAACTGGTTGTAAATCTATTTTTTGTTTATGTAACCTTTAAGAACTGATGGATGGTTGTACTTTTCAGATCATAGTGATACTTTATCGCACACAATTGTTTGAAGTGAAATATTTCTTTGAAACAAAAGACTAATTTTGACTGCACCTTTTAAAGAGATCAACTATGAAAAGAAGCATGAATCGTGTAATTGCTATTGATGTGAGTCAATTTTGAACGATATCGTTCATAAGATCACAAATATTTGATAAATGACTAATTAATTAGTTGACGTGTCATATACCTTTTTTAAGGTCATAGAAGAAAAGAAAACATTCAATTGTATTGTAAACAGAGTTATAGAAACAGTTATGGAACCAAAAGCCGACAGACCGGAGGTAAAGTTGCAAAAGATTGGACATGACAAGAATATGAACTCTATTGTCAAAAGGGTGAGTATACCTCGAACTGACGTTTTAAATCAAAAAGTTTTCCAACCAATAACTCCACAAGCCATAGATCATTTGCCCTCAAACGTCACAGGTGCATTGAACTTGGCCAGTACATGACTCCTTTTGATTTTTAGTCAACGGAATAAATGTCAACTTGCATTGACCGTGTAGGTTAAAACGGTTTCCGACCAATAACTCAACAACCTATGGGCCTTCGGACCTCAAACGTCACGGTTGCATTAGATTGGCCAGTAAATGATTGTAGGGTCAAAGGTTAAGGTCTTATTGATCGTGTATGTCAATACGCTTTCCGACGATTAAGTCGACAACCTGTGTGTTTCAATCTTCAAAAGTGCATTGGTCTTGTTAAGTCGATGGCCGCATATGATAAAGGGGTCGCAGGGTTAAAACACTGATGCGTATGCTAGAATTGTAAATAATTCCATATCTGCCTGACATAAGCCTGATGTTAACTGATCATAACTATATATGTTTGTCAAAATATCTTTAAAAACACTATAAATATTTTTTTCAGAGAACAAGAATGAAAGATGTTTGTAGTTTAATAGAACTGGGCAATGGACAGCAAAATAATGATCTTGGTGCGTAATACATTATATCTTTTTCATTAGATATACGTTCGAATGAACTATTAAAATTCATCTTTCACAACGTTTGACTGTTTGAGTTCTTTTTATAACTAGCCAGTAATGTATAACATTTTTCTTCCAATATTATTATTATCGTACTTTTACCTATCAAATGTTATCGCAAATGAGAAAACAAAATTAAAATACATATAGTTCTTTGAAATATTGTAGATATGAAAACTAGAAGTTCAACTGGGTATGAATTTCGAAAACCCGAAGATGACACAATCAAAGAGGCATATGTTCACCAATATGCCGATTTGATGCCCTCTGTCGGTCTTATATATTCTAATGTAACTAGTGGTACAATTTTCCGAGCCGGAACCAAACATGCAATGACAGCTTGGCACGTTGTTAAAAAGATTACTGGTAAATAAATTAACATTTTTGATTTTGCCATGTTGGGCTTTCTTTATGGGTTCTTTCTTTTTCTCTATTTTATACTAAAATCAAGAAAAATAAGTATTTCCGGATCATTTTTCGTGTAGCAAAATATTTTTTCGATAAAAAGTAACGTGTGGGCGTTTTTGACATCCCACAATAAATGTCACCCCAGATCGTATAGGCCTAGCTTTTTGGTAGTGTTTAAATGTAATAAAGGCGTATAAAAACTTTATTAACTTCATTGACTTTAACTACTTAACCTAGTAGAGAATTCTAACATTATCATAGATTTCTCTTATATAAACAAAGAAGGCCGGAAGCGTGATATATTTCAGACAAGTGCACACGCCGTTTTTAATTCCTCACTCTGTATTTTCCAACCGACAAATTGACGGTACCATTTGTGACATTCCAAAATCAAATTTTTACAAGTAAAGTCTGCTTAAGCTGGTGCGAAGGTTCGTGGACGTTAGCCTGCAATTACCTCTACTCTCAATTAACAGGCTCAATCAAACCAGCACAATATTCAATATCCGTTTTTTTATTTTAAAGAAAATATTTCTTACAGAGTGCCACCGCAACTTTTATCAGCTAATATATACGCATCTCACTTAACAGTATTTCGTTTTATAACTAGAACTAGATGTTTGCTTTTTGTAGAAAACAATAACATCCTTACATACAAATCATCGACACTGTGTTCACTCAAATCTCGCAATTGGTACTTGGTATTAGAATCGTTTATATTTCTTTATAAATAAATGACTCACCTTGTTTCTAATAAATGTTTTTTTTACAAATCAACTTACCGCTGCCACCGATTGCACCATGACGTCCCTCTTGTGTAACGTTTGCCACATATTTCCTCTTGACCTGGCTTTTAACAGAGTTAAACACGTATAAACACTTAAGTAACTTTATCAATCTGAACTATTTAATCTCACAGAGAAATACACATACACAATACAAGAAGGAACAGGTTATTTGCGTTTGGCAAAATATAACATAGATTCTTATATGTATGCTGTAGATATGTTCAAATATTATCTGTAACTATCACTGATCACTGATAATATCAAATATGAACTTTGGTATGCTAATCAAAAAGACACGCCAAATGAAAGAAATTCACAGAACTAAGTCAGAGTAAATTAAAGTGACTAATTTTTTTTCATTAGTAAGTTGAGCTGAATTGAAAATAAGTTTCGAAAGATTGACTGACATAATGGTGATTGATCAAAAGTTATTATTGGAACATGTTTAGGATAAAATATAAATCTACTTTACAAAAAACTGCCCCACTTTTTTCGATTGAACTTTTCTTGTAAATTTGTTGGATATCTACATAAATTTTCTTGGATTATGTCAGTTATTTATTGTTCACAGAGAGTGAATTGATTAAATTGAGAGGAATTATTGCAAAGAAAAAAATAAAATAAATAAAAACAAACTGATTTTGACTTTTGACATTTTTATATACTCTTGGATGGACATAATGTGACTTTAAACCAAGTAATAATGAATTGAACTGTTACATCTCATAACGCGCGCTATTTCAGCTGAAAGACGTATTATAATTAACACTTTGTGAAATATTACTGATTAATAATGGCATACACTCTGCAATGTATACAGGAACACTTCGAGGCACTTATTAATTCATTCATTTACACATGTCAGTGCCGGTTTGTACTTGTAATTCAAAAGTATTCACAGTACCTTACGTTAAGCTTCTTTGGACAGTTAACTGAGTTAAACTTACACTTTAGTTACACTATCAGTAACACTTAACATGGGATAAAAGTAAACATTAATTCACTCTTTTTAAGTTCTTAGACTTCTTTATTACCTCTGGTTGTGATATCTTTGTAAATATTAGACTTAGGCGATGCGCCAATATGCCTACCAAAACACGGAAGTAAGTGACAAATTATTATCATATAATTAGTTTCAACATCTAAATAACATGAAAGAGAATTTTAATGGTAGAAGTTCAAAAATCGAAGGTAAGTCTATTGATGCCTATAAACTTTTAAACAAGAAAGTATCTAATAAGTGAAATGCATGTCGCTGAAATTAAATTTCACTTGCATAAGATATACATGTATATTATACTGATGTGAATGTAATACAATGCCCTCAAATTATAAAATATAAACAATATTAAATAATAACACAATTTCACAATTTAACAGACACGTCAATGTTGTATTAAGTGACATTTCGAATAAAATTATTATGTAAACAACAATATTTTTAAGGACATTTACCTTTTTAGAAATGGTTTCGGAACGGTCAAATAAAATGATACTGTAGAAACACCATCAGAATACACCTATTACACTTAGTCGTATATGCATACACATTTGATGTTATTTGTATTACTATTGGGTTGTTACATATGTTTGTAGGCGCTTGCACGTTTCTGTGTTGACAATAAAATGAAATTCAAAATTATCTTTTCGAAAGCTCAAGTTATTATTTACAACAAAGCAGGACTGTTTCTTAGGCTTCCAACATAGCTCTATACAGAACTATAGCAGCCATGGCAACACACAATAAAGGGAAATAATCTCCAGATAAACAAACTCTAGAATTTAGGTATATTGCATGAGGCAGTGTCTCGAAGACTATACCACGACTGTCAGAATTAGAGACCTGAAAACAAAATTTGTCCCAGGTGATCATTGTTTTTGTAGAAAGTAAACAAATATTTCTCCTCTGAAACCACAATTGCTAGAGCTTAGATATTTTGTATGACATATTATTTTGTAGAACTTCACAGAATTGTTTTGAATCAATAATAGATTTCAGAAACAACATTTTTTTACTGTTAATACATTGTAATAAACATATGTCAATGTTCAAAATATTTGTTGGCATTTTTATTATCATTGTATGTAACACTCAATATTTGCAAATATATTGACCAAGCTATTGATATTGTGATAAAGAAACCTAAGTCATTTGATGTTGGAAATTCGAGTTCAGGTTTCGTATATCAAGTAACATAGAAATATATGAGATAGTTTGTGTCATGACAACCACGGGTCATTAATTACAATTTTATTAAAGATTATATATTAATTAAAAAAAATAATTATGGTATGATTAAAGTAAGTACAGTTAGTAGTAAGTAAGCAAGCAAAGTATTTATTACAGTGACATGGCATTTATACAATACAAACTTAACTGATACCACAAGTTAAATAAAGTAACAAAACAATTGGCCATAAGTGCCTTTAAGTCAGTCGGATGTCATGTAGTATCTATATTATACTTGACAACCATTGAACAAAAACTACAAGTTTTATTTCAAATACGATATGTGTTACTCATAAGATAAATAGTGTAGTGTGTTTTACGGTACATATAAAATTCATAATGTATTTTTCCCCAGCGGTACATTTTGCTCTCTTATATTTATCTTTCAATTTAATACACAATAAACAATATAAGTTAATAAAACATTTTTTTTTTCAGATCCACATGGGACCAAAAATTATGATTTCAATAAACTCAATCATCCTGACATCTACATAACATTTGGACAGGCAACAAGACAGTTTCGTCTTAAAGGATTGGACATATTTACAGACAAAAATCTTGACATCTCCGTCTTGGAGCTCACTGATGATGCATCATCATTGCCGCCGCCTTTAAAATTGTTACGTGATGAAGTATCTGGTGTAAATGATGTAGCAATAATTGGCTATGGACATCCCAGTGATAACAGTAAAAGGCTTACACACAGTGCTAAAATTTTACCTAGGGAGACCGTACGGAACGGACTCGAAAACACAATGCGCATTATAGATTTAAATGGTAGTTGTTTACGTTCAATGATTAGATCGGCAGGTAATGATCCAAATAGTGTGTACAAAGGTTACAATGGATATGATAATCCAGACAGATTTTTGTTCAATTCATATGTAGGACCAGGTGCCTCAGGTTCTCCAATGTTTTCAAAAGAAGACCCTTCTTCGCTGAAAGTTGTTGGTGTGTATACAAGTGGATATCCAGAGTTTGCTTATTATTTACCACAGTCATATACTATTGCACCTGAATTCACATTTGAGATGGCTACCAAAATGAGCTCAATATATAAATCTATTGCATCGCGTGATCAAAATTTGATGCGCGATTTATTTCAATAACCAGTGAAAGCTAAATGTGATAAGTGTGTTAATAAACTAGAACATTGTAGATTACCAAAAGGAGAATGATTGTTAAGAAAAAAAAACGAATAAGAAGCGACATTATTTCTGCTAGAATAGATATATAGGGTTAAAAGCATGTATGTTCATCTATTTGTACTATATTTTTATTGGTACTATGAGTGACTTGTGTGCTATTCAGAAATGCTCCCATGCTAACTAAGGTTTTGAGTGCAAGGATTTTACGTTAAGATCTGAACTAAATTTACCGCATACATCCATGTTATTGACCTGTTTAAAAGTTTTTTTATTTACATACCTGTATATGACATACTGTATTTATCAGTCACATGACTGTAAATACAAGTGTATAAGAGTTCTATAAAAAAACATACATTAACTTAATCTGATCAAAATACCCTTGACATAAATACAGTTTGCCTATTTCGATTATCTGTGATAATTCAATGTTATTTTTAAAAGTTAACATTTAAGGTATTTGTCCCATAATGGGCACTATACAGTAAACTTCACTTATAGCGAACACGGTTATAGCGAACTTCCGGTTATAAGGAACTATTTATTTTGGCCCGAATTTTGCCCTTCTTTATTTGATATAAAAATATACGGTTATAGCGAACACGGTTATAAGGAATTGTCGCTTATAAGGAACACATTTCTTAGTCCCAATTTAGTTAAACGTACAGAAAATTACACTTTTATAGCGAACTCCAAAATATTGTTTATCCGTAAATAGATCCAGCATTTTCAACTTTCGTTTTCATTGGCACATACCGAATGTACTGTTTATTGTTGTATGTAGTTCAAGACATATTGCATAGCAGTACTTTTGTTTGTTTGTTTCATTTTACGCCTTTTTCAACAGTATTTCAGTCATATAGGCGGGTAGTTTCCTAACCATCGTTCCTGGAGAGTTACACCAGTACTAGACTACCTTCCTCCGCGCTAAACTACCAAAGCATCTCCCGGGGATCGAACCCACGCCAGAGAGGTAACTGGATTAGAAGTCATCGACTCTAACCTCTCGACCACGGTAATAGTTTTCTATTCAGGATATTTCTAACATGAATTCTTGTCACCAAGCTAAAACGGTTATTCCTTTTATGCTTATATTTCTTTTCTTTGTCAGTAAAATAACTATGATCATTTATAATCGGTTTTCAGCATAATCACGCATGCTTGCAAGCAATCCATTAAAAGATACAAAGCACGCTTGATTGAAAAGAAAAGAAATGTATATGCTTTATTAGTAAATAATTCTAGAAACAAAGTGATCCCTCGGAAGCATTAATCACAACAAAATAACATAAGAATTGCAGACTCGGTTTGATTGAGTCTGTACATGAGTGATAATGAATAAGTGCAACATCACTCACGCCCCCTAGCACCGGCTAGGTGATTCTTATTCTTATTCTTATAAAAGTCATTCTTATAATATAATAGAAGATATTCAATATAAAAGGAAGGAAAATTGAAAATCTTGTTTATTCTTAATCATGGAAAAAAATCGAAAAGCACTGAGTTTAGAAACAAAATAATTATGATGTTTTATGAGAAATTGAGAAAGGGGGTATTACGTAAACTGAAGGCTTTTCAAATTTCAAAAAGTACGCTCTCAAATATTGTGTCTAAATTAGAAATAAATGACTATTTTTGTCTTAAGCAAATGCTCTTCGAAATTGCGGACGATGGTAAAATAATCATTTCGTTATATGTAAATCTGTTGAACTTCGCTATAAAAACTCCTGATACAAGGAACTCATTCGATATATGCTTATAAGGAACTCCGGATATAAGGAACAGATTTTGGATGTCCCAATGAGTTCGTTATAAGCGGAGTTTACTGTATAAGGAACTATAAAATTGACGACATATGTCAGTTTTATACCTTAAAGGACACCTTTATGCAAAATTAAAATAGCTTTACCGTATGGTTAACGAGTTATGGAGACTTGGTTATTAAAAGGGCTTTTTTATTATGAGAAACTCTACATGATTTATTATATAATTAATATGAAAAATGTTTTCAGAATGAACATTGTTAAGAAACAGATAAAAGCAGTCAGCTAACAAATGACACAAACAAAATTGTTGTTTCTACTCAAAATGTTTGAAATATATATAATTGTTACCCTATCCCACCAATTTTATATAGTTATATGACCATTTTCTACTTGGATGGCCTTATTCAAAATATACTTAAAATTTACCAAAATGACGGGCTGTTTTCAAAGTTTGCCTAAATATTCTTTAACCCTTTACCTCATATATACGCGAAACTACACACTTTCGACCCACCTCTTTTAGGCCTCACATAGTAAAAAAATGTCCTATTTGGACTCCAAACACATGTTTTCGTTTGAGAGATGTTACTAAAAAATAAGCACTTTTTCAGCGCGGCCCCCATCCAAAAGATACATCAGGGGTTGCCAGAAGTGGGATGTGCCACCTTCTGTTTTGGGGGTTTGAAGGGGGCGGCAGTCCCCCTCATCCCCAAGAGAATTTTGGACTTGTGACAGGCTAGAAATGACCCCAGGTCGATCATAAGGTAACGTGTAACCAAAGCTGAAAAAGCCTTTGACTCTTTCTTAATCCATTAAGAAGTTGCAGCAATTTGAAATCAATTTGATGGAAAAAATCAAGACAAAATAGTGATTTTTTTGCAATTTTGATATGTCCCGTCGTTGCTATGGTAACAAGAAATTTAAGACTGAGCATGTCGTTACAAAGGCAATGGCCCAGTCAACATTTGTGCCCAGTTTGATTAGTATTGAATCATTTTTCATAGTTTCATAGCAGTTTGAACTTGTATCAAGAGGCTTTTCAATGAAACGGGTATTTTTCACAATATGCTCATGTGGGAAAGGGTTAAAGTATATTTGTTGATTTTGTAAAATATAAAATACTTTTAACGTCTAGTTTTTATTTAATGGGACGTGATAAGAAAATTGGCATAATTTAGCCAATAAATACCAAGAATAATTAGAATAAAACATTTTTTTCCAAGGGTGATAAAGTGACACTTACGTAAATAATGTTCAAAGCAAAAAAAGACAGAAAAAAAGTTGTCTCCTTTGGGGTTTGAACCCGCGCCCCTCAGTTTCAATGCAGTTGACAGTACTTCTAGCTTATTTGAATACTCTTTAAAGTTCAGGTAATGCATTATGTGGGTCATACCTAAATTATCAATATAAATGTCGTTATTGGGTAGAAAAATAACTATTTATTTTTGTTCAACAGTTTTCGCAATTATATGCACTTTTAAAAAGGTACAGTTATACTTTTTCGGCAAGTTTGGCTTATCTGGAATTCTTATTACCTTTACAAATAAATAATGTACAATAAATGAACAAAAAAAAAAAAATAAAAATAAATAAATAGATGTATAAATCATTAAATAAATAGATAAATGAATAAATAAAACCTTAACACAATTTTTGTTTAAGGCATTTATATATAATTCACTCGATTGGAACCATAAATAAAGTTATGACAAAAATCAACTGAACTGAAAAACCACTTGTCCTATTTCATCAAACTTACCAGGATTGTTTTTTAGTAAAAGGATTACAAAGTAAAAAGTTGTTCAAAGAATTTGATTCCATGCAGAAATCTGGTTGCATCAAAAGGGAATTATAAGAAAACATACGTTGAATAGTCCAGTGTTGGCAGTCACAAGGTTAAGGTCATTTGTGCGAACAACAGATTTTTGTTCACGTTTTATACATTCTTTGTATTTATTTTACCAAAAGCTCATATTACAAGAAACATATCTTTATTTAAGTTGAATATTTTTACTACTTCATTCCAAGCCATAGCATTGACTTGTCAAAATATGTTTTTTCACAATTTTAAAATGCCGTTAGTCTGTCAAGTAATATAACTTTGCGTACAATTTCTTTGGCAATTTTCTGTCCATAACCTAGTGAATGCGTAAACCGTCTGGACAAATTTATGCTGGCAAAAATAAGAGCCAAGGGAATATGCGTTTTACAAACTCGTTCTTTTTTATTTTTACGTTTCTTGTCGGTCAGTCCACTTTATTGTTTCCGGACAATAATGAACTATTATAATCAAAATTTGTAAATACAGCTCGAATTCGCTATTTCTTTCATTATTCTGTTTACATCAATATTGACAAATAGGGGTGTCGATTATTCTTATATAAAAGTGTACTATATAGCCTAAATCTTTTACCACCTTACCAATCCCTCATTTTCCATGCGTTAAAAATTTAATCATAAAAATCAATTTTGTTTTGTTTTGTTTTTTTGTTTTTAGCTGTTTTTTATTTACATCGGACTGGATTTTAGATCAATGCTATATGAGTATACACACATTCGCATCAAGAGGTTAAGTATAAGACAACACAGTCGTGATGACCAATGGAAGAACATATACAGTAAATACAAATGAGCCAAAATTGTTAAAAATGTGGCGACTGGGATTCAGAGTTTAAAACAGAATAAAATTGATAATACTGTTTAATTTGTTCAATGACAGTTATAAAAATCAAATACATTCAATTTGGCTTCGCCATCAAAAGTTTAACTTTAAACTGTGCAAAACATGTAAGAGAAAAAGAAAAGTTACGTGTCACAATTTAAAAATATTCTGAAAGTAATGACCATACTCAAAAAAATGTGACATTTAGAGATTCGAACTCGAAAAATCATATTCATAACCTGAGATCTTCATAATCTGACTCTCTTACCACTACGCTCGGATGTACGTGTCTATATCCACGTTTAGTCTTCTATATTGCAATTAAAATGCAAAATGTAATAATTGAAGATTTTGAACAATACAATCATGACACCATAATGGTTCGACCGATTAATGTAAAGGTTATTGTGTTCGACTTATAGCAAGCTTATTGGGAAAAACACAGTGGCATTGCTTTTGGGTCACATAAGGTCAAGGTCACTGTTTCTAAAAGCAAAAAAATGGTTTCCGGATGATAACTAGAATTGGGAACGATATTTTGTTAGCAAACATGGTGTATATAAAGCTAATGTGGAGACTACATTGGGATTTCTTTTGGACCCCAATGACCAAAGTAAGGGTCACAATAAGTAAAATAAAATCGAACACATATTAAAGCTGCTACACAAAAAACAAACAAAAATAAAAATTAAATATATAAAAATAAACATGTGAAGCAAGTGCCTGAGAATGCTGAGCAACAAAATACAATGCACATTCAAAAGTATCAATACGAGAACTTGCTGAACTGCGATTTAAGAAAAAAGATAAAGACAAATTTATTTATTTTTAAATGCAAGAGAAACATTTCATAAACCGTGAAAATAAAAGGTATGGAAAATAATTACATTTATCGACTACACATTAAAAGTTAAACTAAAATAACATTTATGAAAATAAGAAATTTATCTATTGCATATCAAAATGTTTGTTGTTGTATAATAATGTTTTTATAGTACCGAAAGTATACACTTCATTACTTAAAATTGTGGCATTTATTTTTCACATGACTTTCACA